ACAATATCGACCTCAAGATGCCTTTCAGAAAGGCGCGCTCGTTCTAATCAAGGACGAACGGTTCCTTCCATCTAAGTGGCCTCTAGCACACATTACTGACGTGCACCCTGGAGTCGACGGACTTATTCGAGTCGCCACAGTGAAGACAGCTACCTCCAGTTTCCAGAGACCAATAGTGAAATTGTGTTTGCTGCCGATCGAAAATCAATAAATAAAAAAAAAGGGGAGGGGGACTTTACGCTACCCGCTCTCATATATTATCTCGATATTTCGTCTACTACGAGTAGACAAGGCGGGCGGAATGTTTCGACAAAATAATGTAATAAAATTATAGTTAATAATATTCTTTGTTAAATTTTCTTAAATTCATCGAGAACGGTCGTTGTGAAAAGTCGAATCACTAGCAAGCATTATTTGTAAATGTTATCGCGCTAAATTCAATAAACACCGTTCTCCGCGTACTTATTTGCGCGCTTTTTTTGTTGTTTTCGCGCCGACTTCGAGTTCGCATTACAAAGGACTCATATGTCCTCTATATTTATATGTATACTCTCGCTTGATCTGTATTTGAGATATCATAAATCTATCGAAACTGTTCCCCCTCCTTATATCTGTTTTGTCAAAATTCACGGCTTGCCGTCTGCAGACGGAAGCAGTCGTCTCTCAGCGTTCGAACGAAATAAATCGATTTACACGACAAGTTCTCCTCTAATCACCTTCCTATCTCGGGATATTTCGACGTCGCCAGTGCCGGAATTTCGCGTATCTCTCTCAACACAAGTCGACACGGATAAAGTAGCGAAAATACGTAAAATAGTGTCGTAAATATTTTCACAAATAACCGGATTGCAATTATTTAAGGCATCCTCTACATTTTTTAACATTTCCACTTTTTTTTGCCAGATTTCGTACTCATTCACCAATTGTTCTATGTTGCATTGTAAATCAGCTTCATACGTTTTAAAAATATTTTCCAAAAGATGCAAATTATGCTGATTTATAGGCGAAGGTTCTAATAGAAACTGAAAACTGGATAAAAGTTCTTCATTCTCATTGCCTAGCATTGAGAAATCTTTCATTTATTTGCATAATGAAATGGTCGAGAAAATTTATAAATATATTTGATTTGTAATAGGTTATCGGAATAGTTGACCTTTGGATGGCAAGCCTAGGAAGTTTTATTTCAATGTCATGTTTCTCTGCATATGTACTAGCTTTTGCATTCAAAATTTCGAATTCAACGTCGGCATTTTCTCTAATTTCGTTAACTCTTTGAATTACAATTTTTGCATACGAAATTGCCTAGCATAAATCGATCTTAGGACTTTGTAAATATTTGCAAAGGTTACTTAAAAAATTAAAAACTCGGTTAACTGTTAGGAGAGTTATTATAAATTCCATGCTTTTCACAGATATCAACAAGCAAAATGCGGTAGAAGATGTCTTCGAAGGGTCCCAAGTAGAATTTATTTTGTGTAACGCAATTAATATGTAATCAAAAAGTTCCAAAAAAATAAAGACCAAATCATGCTTTTCTGACCATCTTGTTTCAAATTAAAATGTGTAGATTCTCGGCTGAAATCAGCTTTGATTTGTTCTTGTAATAGCGAATTTTGTTTTGGAGAATTAAAAAAGGAGCATACTTTGCTAATAATTCTCATACAATGTTTAATTTCTCTCATTTTACAAGAGTCAGAAATTGCTAAATTTAGAACATGTGCTGTGCAGTGTACATACTTTGCCAAAGGATATTTGTTCAAAATATGCGTTTTAACTCCATTAAAATTTCCACTCATAGAAGCAGCACCGTTGTATCCCTGTCCTCGAATTTTCATTAGATCAAGCCCTAATTCCGTCACGGCTTTTAAAATGTTATTGGCTAACTCTTCTCCTGTTAAGTCATGAATAGTGTAGAATTGTAAAAAAAGTTCTTCAATGTGCATCGTTTGGTTATTAAACATTCGAATACATAAAGACGTTTGTTCTTCGCTATATCCGTAGTTTCATCCATTAAAATCGAAAAAAAACTGCTATCTTTTATTCTCGAAATCAACTTTTTCAAAATAAGTATTATAAATTGCAAATTTCAATTATTTTACTTTGTGTGGTTTTAGAAGTGTATAAAATAGTTTTGTCTTAAGTCTGAAATAAATGACACAATTCCTTATCGTCTCTAATCTTAAATCTTAAGAGTGCTCTAAAATTTCCGTCTTTATGTTTCGGATCTATCTGTAGATCAATTCTAACATCATCTCGATGATCTCTTAAAGATAAGCCTTGTCGTTCACATAATAGAATTGTCTCTATTATCGGTTTTAAATATTTTCGATTTCTTTCTATTTCTTCTTTTCTTTGTTTATTAATTTGAACAAATATCGTTTCTTGTTTTTTCTTAGTAATTAGTGAAGCAGATTTATAATCAAACGAGGATTTCTTATGGTACTGTAAATTCTGATGATTTTTAAAGTTTTCTAAACTTTTTTTCCAATTGCAAAAAAGCTGTTTCACCAACTGCTTCAGATCTTGGTTGCCTTTTCCAACAGATTTAGGCCCAAAAATAACACAATATTTGCAAAATGCTGCATCTTTTGCCTTAGAGTAGGAAAGCCATTTAAAGGACCCCGCACAAACCTTATGGAAAATGGGTCCCGGTGGATTTGGCTGAAACTTTGGAAATTTGTAGCTTACGTGATCCTGATGAAAAGTTCTCATTGTCCCAACTTGATTCATTGAGCCGTTTGAGCTCTAGGGACCGTTGAAAGTAAAAAATAGGCGAATGCCACCGCTACCTGTAAGAAATCACCTGATAATGCCTCCCTCTCCTATCCTCCCCCCACTCCTCTTTCTCTCTTTTCCTCTCCCTCTCCCTTTTCCGCGTGCGTGCGTGCGTGCGTGTGTGTGTGTGTGTGTGTGTGTGTGTGTGCGCGCGCGCGCGCGTGTGTGCGTGCGTGTGTGTGTAGAACAATAAACTAATGTTCAAACATCAATAACATTTGATACATTATTAAGATTTTCTTGCGGTGGCCTATTCGCTGCATCGCAAATAGTATAAAGGAGTCTCGACGAAGGATACCGAACATGTTCGTGTCGTGCGTATCCAATGAACCATAAAACACTCGCAATGTGTGCACATGTACCCAGAGTTCGAGCACCGGATTTGCAAGTGCAGTAGTAACCTTGGATGTGAGGGCCGTCCTGAACATCCATTCCATCATCCATATCATGATCGTTTGTCGGTCGATATGATATCCATAATTGGTATTTCGCTGCATTGCGAAATCGAGAATACACTCTAACTCTTATTAAACCAGGTTGTGGTATCCTCTGTACGTCCCTCAACATTTCAATCTGGAATTCTTCCGACTCCTCCCTTTGTAACTTGTCATGTATATACGATGGTGCTAAATGGATTTGGTAGATGCCAACAGTAAGATCCCTTAGAAAATGTAAATCCAAAATTAAAAAATCAGGAACATGTTGGGCATTCAAACGTATCCGTCTTTGAGTGTTCAGATGTTCAGCCTCAACAAGTGCTTGGACAACATTCACTTCATTTGCTTTCTCCAGTAATTGACAAGCCAACTCTCTATTAGCTCCTTCCATTTGAACAGAAGGATGATACCTATTGATTATCGCACCAGCAATACAATAGAAATCACTCAAATTAGGAAGATAAGGAATCGATATTGTTTGCTGGAAGAATTTAAAGATAGATTTGATAGCCATTCCTGGCCTCCACGATCCATCTCGTCTTAGTGATTATCCGTGAATCATTAGCTTCATTTGTAAGGAGTTGACTTTGTCCTCGTTCGAGAAGTGCTGGCATCCTCCACCGAATCCCAAGGCGAGTGAGTAGCTCTGTAGCATCTCGATATCCTCTATTTACTATCATTAAATCTCTTTCTTGGAACCATTCTCGCATTCTTTCAACATCCCTATAAAATTCATTCTGAAGGATTGCAGCATCATTATTTCAACTGTCTGAAAAATATGGACCTTGAATATCGAGTATGTAGCCATCGGGTGCGACTATCAGCACAGGTTTGAGTAAATGTCGTCCTTTATGAAGACAAAATGACTGTCGGAGAATACGAAAATTGCTACTTTTAGGAATGTAGCTATAAGTACCGTCAATGTACGCGATTACACGACGAATATGTGGTTCGGGATTATATAATTCATTAGCGAAATCAGTTACATGTCTTTGGATATAATCTCCTCTCGTGATTGCATTCAAACCGATGTTCGTCGGAACAAAACGTTGCATCAAAAATTGTCGGACAGTGTAAATGGCTAAACTCGTTGCTTGTCTGCTCGGGTACTCGAAGATAACTTTAAGAAAATCATCAGAAAGTCCTTGTCGCATTTTGCATAAGAACATTAACAAGTCTTTCTTAGAAACATATCTATAGCCGCCTGGACAAGACACCCTATCGCAATAATCAAATAGTTCCAGAAACTGCTGTTTGGTTACTGGAAAAAAGGATTCGAATTCAGCATCTGTAAAACTGTTCTCATCAACGAATCTTCTTTGATCCCTTGCCACATTTCGGAGTCCTTGTAGGAACATTTGAAGTTGCAGTCCTTTGATGACGTAAGGTCTGTTAATGGATCGCAAGCCAGGTAGCAAAGCCTGAAGAAAAAAACCTTTATCATCCAGATGATGTTGACATGATCTGACATCTTCAGGAATGAAAATATCTCGTAAAACAAAAACGTTTACTCTACATTCAAGTGTAATCCTGTGGACATCGGCATCAGCATTACAAATCACACAAGTACGATTCGCAGTTTGTGTCAATACATTGAGTCGCAGACAAGTATTATCTCGTTCCATTTCTGTTATTTCATTGCGAATAGATTGATTACATGTGATACAAATCCTCGTAAGATTTGTCACGGCGAGAGGTGGCCTCTGGAAATCATCACGTCTACGGATAGCAATCTCACGTTTGTTTGCATTTTCATCTGTATCTATTCGACTCATTTGATTCCGTACAAAATTTCTGTTGCAAATGTAACAATTCAAACGATTTCTCCAAGCCATAGTTAGCTATTGAAATACGCTAGGAAGAAAATGTTTGTATCGACTAAACCAGATTATCAATGTTTCCTTTTGTTGATGATGTACATTCAAAAATAAAGTCACCAAATAAAAATGCCTTTAATATTAGCTATGCAGGATAAGAGAAAACAAAAATATACATGTGCCAATCTGAAAATTGGATATATCGAATAACTATGGAATAACTCGGGGGCAACAATACAGAAACACAACGTATATGGTATCATAGATGGTATCTTTTATAGATTCCTAAATATTGGATCTGAGAATCGTAGATCCGTTTTCAGTTTTGTCTACGAAGTAGAATGATTTTCCGGCATTAACGACAGAATGATACATTTGCGGAAATGACGAACCGTATGGTCCACATCTCTGCTGTAACGCACACACGCGCGCGCGCGCGCACGCACACACGCCTCACACGCACACGGAGAAGGAAGGGGGAGAGGAAGAGAGAGAGAGAGAGGAGTGGGGGGAGGGTAGGAGAGGGAGGCATTATCAGGTGATTTCCTACATGGTGGCGGTGGCAGTCGTCTATTTCCTACTTTCAACGGTCCCTAGAGCTCAAACGGCTCAATGAATCAAGTTGGGGCAATGAGAACTTTTCATCAGGATCACGTAAACTACAAATTTCCAAAGTTTCAGCCAAATCCACCGGGACCCATTTTCCATAAGGTTTGTGCGGGGTCTTTTAGTTGAATGTGACGAGCCTTTGTCGTACGAAAAAGCGGTAGTTGCCGAAGATGCCGACTGCTGGAAGAAAGCAATCAGCGAGGAACTAAAGACTCATGATTTCAATGGCACTTGGACTTATGAAGATCTTCCTAAAGGTAAAAAGTCCATCGGATCCAAGTGGGTTTTCAAAAGGAAACACAATCCACATGAAAATACTTACCAGTACAAAGCTCACCTATGTGCTAAGGGTTTCATTCAGAAGCAGGGTGTGGATTATCAAGAGGTTTTTGCCCGATACGACTCAATACGGATGATGTTGGCACTTGCTGTGCAGCAAAATATGAAGATCGGACAGTTTGACGTAAAGACAGCTTTTCTTAACGGGAATCTAACGGAAGAAATCTATATGGAAGTGCCGGATGGGGTAATATCCATACATAAGAATAAAGTCTGTAGACTGTGAAAGTCACTGTACGGGCTTAAACAGGCGTCGCGAACATGGAATTGCAAATTCGATTCATTCCTTAAATTTTTTCATTTTGTGCCAAGCGTAGCAGATGCATGTGTTTACACAGGTGATTTTGAGTCTAGCAAAGCTTATTTGATAATATACGTAGATGATGGTTTAATTTTGACGGCGTCACAAAAGGCACTTGATGTAGTCTTAAAAGAATTAGAGTCAAATTTTAGAATAACTATAGGTGATACGAGAAGTTACGTATACATGGAAATTGTTCGTGATATAAAAGCAAAAACAATTCTAATTTATCAAGCATCGTATGTAAAGCGTATTCTTCGGAGATTTAACATAATCGATTCAAAGATCAAAGAAACTTCTGCAGATCTAGGTACATGTTTATTGTCATCGAATGAGTGCGATATAGATAAGAAAGATGTGCCATATCGACAAGCTATAGGTAGTTTAATGTTCCTCTCTATTGTCACGCGTCCTGATATAATGTACATTGTGAATTACCTGAGCAGATTCATGACATGCTTCGACACACAACATTGGTGCGCCGTGAAGAATGTGTTTCGCTACCTAAAAGGAACGATTAATGTAGGAGTCTTGTATGATGGAATATATAAGAATAAGTATTTGTGTGGTTTCTCGGACTCAGATTATGCAGGTGATCCGGACACCAGGCGCTCTACGACAGGTTATTTATTCACTTTAGCTGGTGGTGCAGTAACCTGGAGTTCTCTCCGACAGAGAACAGTTTCGCTCAGCACAACGGAGGCTGAGTGTACATTGCTGCCTGCGAGGCAGTAAAGGAAGTTTTGTGGTTAAGACAGTTATTACGTGATGGCGATTGTTAAAATGACGAACCAATTCTCATTAAAATAGATAACCAAAGTGCAATTAAGCTTATTCGTAATCCAGAATTTCACAAAAGAAGCAAACATATTGATATTCGCTATCACTTCGTGCGAGGGAAGTATGCTAATAGGGATATTGATATTGAATATGTATGTAGTTAAGAACAGCTTGTTGATATTTTGACTAAGCCTTTAAGTCGAGACATCTTTAAAAACCTAAGAGCAAAAATTGGTATGATGCATAGAGACTCTCGAAAGGTGGGAGTGTTGGAGATTTGATTTCTCCAGTCTCTATTAATATATTTGCGCTAGTGCTTAAAGCGCTGTGTATGAGGAAGGGAAATTTTGTCGTCATCGATATGCCCGTTTTTCTTTTGTTTTAGTCTGCGCTTTATCACGCTCTCGCGCATACAGTATTACTTTTCGTTAGTTCGTGCAGTCTTCTTGCTTCTACGACTGTGTACGGACAAAATATATTCTTTTGTATCAACAGTGTGTGTTATTTTTCTTTCTGACAAAAATCAACACAATATTATGATAAAATTATACGAGATAATGACACGGTAAACAATATAAAAAATGCTATACTGGCGCCATTTTATCATTAATGTTCCACGAATGACAAATCACAACACGAATTTGGCTTCAAAGGAAAAAATTCTTTATGCAATTTGTAAGGGTTTCCGTAATAAATTGTGGGCGTGCTTAATGTACGTAAATGTTTTAATAATTCGTTTGCATGTTTGCGTGGATTAACATTGACGGCCGGCCACGAAAAACAGAACTGCTTCGTACGGAAGCCAGCTCAAGACTGACTCATCGCTCATCGAGCTCGATTGGCCGCGTTCGCATTTTGTTATTTCTAAAGAATAATAAAAGAAAGGATGAGCCGCTATTTGCCTCTAACGCTCGCGCATCGCGTCGGTAGAATCGGCGGCTTCGGTGTCGCCTAAATCAAAGGCCACTGTTTGTAAATAGCGTCGGTAGCTGTAGGCCTTTTATGACCTTATAAATTGGCAGAAAGCAAAAGTGATGGGCATATTAAAATATTATAAGCATTAACCGGCACTTCACAAAGATGTCCAAGTTGCAATAAAGCCAATTTATGTTGCTCTGTCTAATAATATCTAGTTATTAACTAGATGCATTGCTATAGTCAAAATGCTAACGAAAGTTTCCATTTAATTGTTTGGAAAATGGCTCCAAAAATTTTTTTGATAGATCTGATATCGTTGCAATTTCTACATACATAGCAATAAATGAAAAAATACTGTTACATCCTGATAGGACTCCACAATTCTTTTCTTTCTCACGAGTTTATATTTCATTAGAAACGAAACCGTATCTGGCAAACACGGGAAGTAATAAATTTTAAACTATTTGAATAATGTCGACATAGCTTAACGAAGCTTCTTTCACGCTACTTCCAATAAACAAATAAAAATTATCATTTAACTTACGGGAACGATATTTGAATCTAAACTTTTGACAAAACTGACGTCATAAATTGAATATTAAATCATCGCAACTTAAACTTTCTGCAGCTCTAAACGCTAAGACCAAGCAAATCATCAGCTCCGCTAAAAGAATTTTTTGCACAAACATAAATAATGTCATTCAGAAAAGTCGACACCGGTCGAGTGTTTGTCAGATCGGATATTTCACACTGCGAATGCGTGGTCAATCATAAACTTGTGCGATCAAATTACATTGCGTAAGAACTAAGACCACCCTACCATACTCACATACCATCAATAGAATGCATAGATTCTTTTAAATGTTAGATTTTATGCCCCACCGAGATCAAAAGGACCAATTAATTTTTCCATCAGACCAACGTCCGAAATTATTAAGTAGGGACGTAAATGAGAGGATTAACAATTATAAAAACTCGTGACAGCTCTTTCCGGAGGACAAATATATCGGTAGAATTCAGAGTGTGCAGTTAATACTCAGTTTTGTCAGAATTACTAAAAGAAAAAACATAAAATGTGAACCAGATCGTGCCAGTTAATTGTGCAACTACCATCAGTAGCAACAACTTAAAAAATCGCTGATTTTGTTTCCGGAGCCAGAGGCTCCCCAGCCTAAACCGATTAGCGTTACGTGGACTTTCGAGACTTTGCGACAATCTGTGGCAATCGTCGCAACTAACTTTACCGGCAAAGATAAAATCTTATTTACTGACATTGAGTTGTGATTAGCAACAAACAAATTATTGATTAATTGCCATAGAAATAGTTTATTTAATTACTATAACAACATTAGTATTTTGTTAATCATTTTTATTTGTTTATCTCATACTCTTCATTTGTACATTATAACATTAACATCAAGTTAAAATATAGAAATCTTAAAATACAACTTGATCTTTTCCTTATCATATGTAGTAGTTCTCATTTTAACCGCTACATAATTGGTGACCCCGACGTGATCGGAAAAATCTAATTTACTTGAAGAGCCGCGGGAAATTTAAATTGTGAACGACATAATACGAAGATGCCTATTAACCATTCACCTCCTTCATTGCCGAAAATGACAACGAATCCAGAAGAAGCATTAGGAACACAAAATATATTAGAAAGAGCAACGATGCTGAATAGCGGTCCATCTAATTCAGGTG